TTTTTACTGCGTTGTTAGTAACTCAGTGCAAAATGGCGCTAGGCCTGTCTGCACACGAAGTATTGTTTTTGAAGATGATGAGGACGAAATGAAAGACCCATACAAAGACAAAGGTGTGCTACTTTTTGTTCGGTTTTTTATTGGCTTATTATACTATACATTATCTGTCTTTAATCTTACACTATTACCATTTACCATTGACCTTCAGAGTACACGAACGTAAAGGTGATCCTTCTGTTGAGGATGATCCTTCTACTGAAGATAACTCCTTTGCCGAAGACAACTTTCTACCACCCGCTAGAATAAGGTTCCAGCAAGATTTCGTTTCGGGCCCCCATACTATGCATCAGTGCTCCTATTCGAACTGAAATTTTGTCAATTATGATGTTTCAGATTAAAAAAATAAATATCAATTGACAAAATTTCAGGTGGAATAGGAGCACTGCTATGCATTATAGGTACCGCTTAGAGCCGATGGTCAGTTGCCCTTATTGCGGTGCTTTCATGTTTATTGAAGAATGTGTGTGCAACGCAGTAGTAAAAGCCGACCAGAATTTCCTCTGTGCTGTGGGAGAGACCAAGTGAATATCCCTCCGCTCGACCCTGATTTAACTTCTTGATGGCCAGAGCGGCAAGGAAAGTTATTCCGTAAACACATACATATAAAAAGTATAAAAAATGGCCTAGGCCAGGTCAAACCTCTGAAAGGCCTCATGGTGGCAGCTATGACGGAGGTAGCAATGACAGTCAACTAGAGGTGGACAAATGAGAATGAGAAACCGTTATGGTAAGGAGAATGAGGAATGGATGTTAAAAAATGCAATTTATAGCATTAGTTTTGGCACGCACCATATTTTTGCCTTCAAAGCCTTCGGTATCTTATTTTCGCGAGTCAGTTTGCCCTGCAGCAGTGATTTGGCCGCCTATGATGAAGCCTTTCCAATGACACCACCGAATCCTTTGTTTGGATTGAAATATTTCTTTACTGTCCGTTTGAAAACAATCGCCTCGAAAAACTTAGCATTTTCTTTGCATCAACGCTGCAGTCCCCTTCTTTCCTTGCGTTGTAGAACACCTATTATATAAGCTACATTTATCTCTTTTGTATTGAATGTCCTTAAACAAAGAAACAAAAAAAAAAAAAAATTACCTGCCAAGGTCTCAAGTACGTCCTGTACTGTATCAATGTCTTTGAGGGACTCTTGTTGGCCATGAGAAATTCAAGGAGATTGTTGACAGATTTTTCTGTGTTCTGCCATTTCCTCAGACGAATAAGATGGCTGAGGATAGCTGAAAGCAGTGCTCCTATTCGATTCGAACGGATCGAATTCGAATAGCTTCGAATAAGCCATATCCTGGTTCGATTCGAATGGTTCGAATGGTTCGAATACGACCACTGGTTACGCGTAGCGAAAGTATGGTCCTTGTATTTTACACCCAATCAAAAAAAAAAAAAAAAAAAAAAAAAAGTTTAAAATTATCATTTACTATTGTGCCTGCACCATATAGACCGTATACGATGATTTAAATTACCACTCACGTGGGGCAGACGATATCTTACAGTACATAAGATATCGTCTGTCCAGAAATAAAGAACCCTCTCTTTGTCCTATTGAACTTTAATTCCATATTACAAAGTAAGTTATATCAATTAGGTTAAAACATTGCAGTGCCAATCGTTCGAATAGCATTCGAATTTTGATATCTATTCGAATGGTTCGAATAGGAGCACTGGCTGAAGAGCTAGTTGTTGCTGCGCCGATCATCGTGTCTTGGGAATAGGCGCGCTTATGAGGGTTTTTCCCCGGTGACATCATGGACGTCCACAGAACAGGCCCTTTTTTTCCCTCGCAGGTCTCTCCTTTTTTCTCTTTCGTCTCTGGCTTTCTTGGCCTTTCGTGCATAGCCACATCTTCTTTCTTTCCCTTACTTCACGCTTAATTCAAAGGCGGTACTGCTTGGACCTGCGTTTTTTGATGAAGAGGCAGCATCGCCAGAAGATGAAGAAGCAATAGCATTTCCGTGGGGCATGCTGATAGGCTGCTTTATATTATTGAGGGGATTGCGTAGATATTTGTTAGTACGAGTAAGTGTTGCAAGTAGTGGTTATCGCCATATATGGATGTAAAAAAAAAAGTAAAAGGGAAATATGGGTTGCATAGCTTTATACTTTTAATGTAGTTTATCAAGCCAAAGATCAAGAATACTCTCCATATATTTCAATTGTTCAATCGCTATCATGGTGGCCTTGATTGCAAGCTTCCCTCAAGCGTTGAGCACGCTATTGAATATGAAATGAGAAATGAGAGGAATGGGGAATGAGGAATGAGGGAATGAGGGAATGAGTAACTTTAGTTTTTTTTTTTTTTTTTTTTTTTTTTTTCAAATGCAGTGAAATAACAATGTGCCTGAATTCAGTTGGTCTGCATCACGTCTCAATGTCCAAACGTAAAACCTCTGAAAATTCTGATTTGACTGTGTACAGTCCGCTTGTCAAAGGATTTTGTGGTGAACTTTTCAAATATTTCAAAACTCGCTCATGAATATCCTCCCCTTAATAACATCTCAAGTCCTCTTTAAGGGGAGCAGTTTTCCTCTCTTTTCACGAAATATAAGAAAAGTCCATTCTTGTTTAATTCTTGAATTGATTTTTAAATAATAAAACAGAGCCCTACTGTGGGTCTTATGGTTCCTTACTGAGTTTTCACACAACTGGTTCAGTATAAAAGGCCCAACAACGTATCAATCTGCATTTTAGTCAATTATCCATCGAGCCAGGACCATATTTGTGCTATCTTCTTTTATTGCCTAATTTAGCGAACTTTTCAGAAAACTACCCTTAAATAAAAGAAATAAACTATATAAATCTGCTCTGCTACCAAGTTGGATCTGCATCTTCTTGATAGTGAGCCAGGAAAAAATAGTCAAACTAAAGACAAAGGGTAGGTATAGGGTGGGACATATATGGTCCTGGCTCTCGGATAATAAGCTTAAGTCGTTGTGTTATTCGACTTGGCCAGCTATAAACACCCTTAACCTCCATTATAGCCTATAGTGCGTGCCAAATCTGAGGCAATAAATTGCATTTTTCAACATTCATTCCTCATTCTCCTTCTTCTTCTTTATGATCTTCCCTGCCACCATCGTTTCTCATTCTCATTTGTCTCACCTCCATGGACTCTCATCGTCATCGCCATCAGTGGCCTAATTAGCATTTAATTGCAATTTGCTTTCAGCATCTCATTGCATCTATTATGGCAATTAACAACTTCTTGTTTTTATTTATTCCTGTTACTTCTCCTTTCCCCTAACGATGTTCCCTCCTTTAGCCTTATATAACTCCCTCATCCTCTTCGGCATACTGCAGTATAGTTAGTGTAAGAATTCAGGAGGGATATGTGTCCATACGTCTTGGACTCTCTCCCAGAGATCCTCCATATTCTTTGCCTTGTCTAGATAATGATCCAACTGCACCTTCATGTATGCCCATATGTTTTATATTGGGTTGATGTCAGGAGAGTTTGCTGGCCATTTCATGAGAGGTATCTTAGACTTTTGGATATTGGTCATTGCTATTCTTCCGGTATGAATCCTAGCATTGTCCTGCTGAAATATAAATTTGTCCCTATCCATCAAGTAGTAATCCCTGGACTTAAAGATATAATCCTTGAGAACGTCGACGTAGGTTACCGAATCCACCTTGTCTTGGAGCCAGCAGCCATCGCCTGGTCCGTAGTAAGTTATACAACCCCAGAACATCATTTTCCCTCCGCCACCTTGCCTTGTCTTTTTGATATGATGTGCTCGTAGAGTTTTATCCCATCGATGCTTGTAGTAGTACTTTCTTCCGCAGGACCCAACTCTGCTAAAGATGGTCTCATCTCAGAACATCACATTCTTCCAGTCTTCTAGAGTCCAGTCCAAGTGATCCTTTGCAAAATTATATCGAGCATAGATTTGCTTCTTCGTCAGATCAGGCTGCTTCTGTTTTACATATGCCCCCATGTCATCCTGGATAAGGAACCTCCTGCTGCTCGATTTACTAACCTGCACTCCTTCCCTCAATTGAACAAGTTGTTGGCCATCTTTTAGGGTCTCCAATACACCCATGTCAAAAAATCTTGATAAAAGCTGTTTCGTTTTCTTAGTGACTTTGCAGGGTCGGCCCCCTCTCAGCACTGGAATACTTTCTTTGCCTCTTTTTCTAATCCTTTGAGCTGAGGTAACAGATATCCCTAAACTCTTTGGCACTTCTCTGCAAGACTTTTCCTGATGAAGTAGAGCAGTTGCATTTTGGATAGTTGATTTGGATAGTGATTTCATGTTATGATAAAGATATGGCAGATATGTAGAGTGTCGCTTGGTGTATCAGTGGTGATGGTGCTATAAAGAAAGAATAAAGAATAAGAAAGAAGTAAGGGATGGACAAACCTGACATGTACTTTTTACCAAAACTGATGCAATGAGACATGACTATACAAATGGCGATTATTTCCTAATTGCATCATTGATGAGAACAGCGATGACAGTCCACGGAGGTGAGACAAATGAGAATGAGAAGTGGGGATGGTAGGGAAGATCATTAGAAAGGAAAAGGAGAATGAGGAATGAATGTTAAAAAATGCAAATTATTGCATCAGTTTTGGCACGCACCATAGTTGTGTGAAAACTCAGTAGCTCTTTTTTGTTATTTTTTTTATTTAAAAAGAGTGTACAGATTTTAGTATTTCAGGACTAGTAAAGTTGGAAAAATTTATTGATTTTAGTACTCCTGCTTGCTAATGTTGGAGAATTTAGTACTTCAGTGCGTGGCTGATTTTTTTGTCACTCTTTAGATGCATGTCACGGAAAAGATGTCTGGCAAACGATCTACAAATCCCTTTCCACAATTGCAAAGTGTCCACAAAACCTGTTGTCGAATTCTTCACACATAAACAAATTGTGCTTTTTTCACAAACTAACTGAGGACGGTATTAACCGAACTATTTATACTTGCTGTTATGATCAGAACCAGGTAAACGTCCGAACAGACCTATAGAAATACAGTCCAAAAACGAAGCATCTATGCCAGAAACACAAATAATCAGAGGGTCAAGTCTGTCGCACTTTTTGGCTAGACTTCTTCAAATATTAATGGTTTACTTAACAAAATTCTTATAATTGAGAAGGACTAACCAAAAAGTGCGACAAGCTTGACCCTCTGCAAATACTACAAAAAACCGTTTTTCTCTCCTGGTCTACAATTAGAAACTAAGTTTGCCGCACAAAATTAATGTAAAAAAATGGACTTACAAGACTTCGACAGCTAGATTATCGCAAATACATAGTAAAATAGCCTATTGCTGGATGTATATCGATTATAGAAAAATGGATGAGGTATCGGGGGATATAAGGCTTTGGTACTTACAAAGCAAGGATGTTTTGATCTTAATCCTTAAAGTATTTCTGGAATTATTGCCGTTTAAAGGTTATAAAATGGTCGAAATGAGGTTCAATGTCAAGCCAAAGTGTCTGCCTTTCCCTCAAAAATACGTCAAAGCGCTCTTCCACACAGTATATGATTGATACGTTACATAGCTTTGTATAGAGTCTTAGTTTTCCAAAATCCAAGCATTTTCCATAGACTTTACTTATAGCTGAAGAGAGAAATACGTATATCATTTTTTAGTGATTTTCCGGTTTTATTCATTAAGGAACTTCGGATTCCTTTTATAAGAACACGTATTGTCCCTTAGTACATTATATTATGCACTACATATTCTTACTTTTTGGAAAGTTTGGTCAGTTTTGGAGATATTCTGATGGTTCTACAATATTTTGTCTAAAAGCTAGACAATTTCCGTAGAGACCTTGACTTCAATATGCCCTAGTTCTTAAACTTTTGAATATAAACATTTTCAATTTTTACCCAAAAATACAATTTCCTGTTTTGAAAGATATATTTTCGGTTGCTTTATCGACTTTAGAAGTTTTAGCACGTTTGGAGCCGAAATGAGGGACTTTACTATAGAGTATCTGGTTTTCTATGGATCCTGAGAATGTGGATATGCGTATATGAAGTACCAGACACTTTGGGAGATGAATCCCGTAAATGCATATTAGTATTATTTCCATCCCCGCCCCGAGCGCCCATTTTTTTTTTGAGAGCACATGGAAGTGATACTAGACATTCATAAACAAAGATGCAGGTGATACTAACACAAGAGTTGACATGCACTGATACTAACACAAGAATTGACATTCACAAACAAACATGCACTGATACTAACTTAAAAACTGGCCCGCACAAATCCTATGTAGAGTGATACTAAAATCTTGATTTCATGATACTAAATTATGGCCCGCACAGGGCCATGGAAGTTTCAAGGGAGATTCAAGTGAGAGCCAAGAAAGCTGCAGGGAAGATTCAAGTGAGAGTGAAGAAAGCTCCAGTGAAGATTCTAAGCAACCACGGCAATCACGACAAAATTATCCATTCAGTATCTCCACCAACGTTGTTTCCAATAAGGGAAAGTTGCCAACATGTGAAGGCTGCAATAGCCAGTTGGAAAGAGAAGCTAAGAGATTATTAGTCAAGGTCCCAAGCAACGTCAAGAAAGGGTGGAGTGTTACAAGGTCTTATCACTTTCTCCGGGCCTGCCTCACTAAGCTACCTCAAGAGCAGTACGACGAGGCCATGCGACAACTGCGAGTACGAACAACACGAGCACGGCATCTGCAGAGACAAGAGTTAATTGGAAGACAATAGCGTTACTAGTGATCTTAAATTTCTGTTTTCATGATACCAAGTTATGTTCTCTTTACATGGAGTTTGTGCGGGCCAGCTTAAGCGATAGTATCATTGCATGTTTATTTGTGAATGTCAATTCTTGTGTTAGTATCAGTGCATGTTTGTTTGTGTCTCTCCAGCCAATGGTCTTTCAGCTATTTTATGTACAATACTAATTTTCTGTCATTTTAGTATGCAGTATCAGTATGCGATACTGGTACTGAAATACTAAAATCAATAAAAATAACTCACGGGGGGAATAAGAATTTGGTTATGGTAGGGGGCTTTGGGAATTTTCAGCTGGCGGTCAAATTTATTTCTGACGGGATTTGTATTTTTCCAATGTCTTTTTTTCCCAGTCGTAATATGAAATTTCCTGCCACCTTTATAAAGTGAAAAATGGTGGAAACGAACCTAAACTGCCACATAATTTTTGTATAAGAGGCGAACAAGATGAGTCTAGATCCTGCTTTCTTTTCTTTCTTTCCTGTCTTTCTTTCTCAATTCGTTATGCAGCGCCATCTCTCAACCCCAAAATCCACTTTTTTTTAATTTTTATTTCTTTTTACACTCAAGACCAATACCTTGAGTAAGGAACAAATATTCATGCCCGAGTTTTTTAAAAAAAAAATAAAAATAAAGATTACGCATTTTCAAATATCACTGACGGCAAATATTGTCAACTATAAACCGCCCTTCTCTCTCCGCAGTAAATAGGCACCAGTCCAGAGGAAGAAAGAAAGTCATTAAGCTATGTTTGACACTATCAAGTTCTCATCTTAAAGCGCACTCTCGCCTGTACAGGCTCTGCGACTCTTTGACTTCTACATGAAGGCTGCTCGCGCCATAGAAGACGATAGCACTATAGTGATGAGGCTCTGTCAGGACCCTTACTCTGTACTCTCTCGTATTCAGAAGCCCTCAAAAAAGCTCCTCGCTTCAATGTCTTCAGCCTCTTCAATCCATTCAGCTTTTAGTAAAGATTTAGCATTATGCCATAGAGTTGCCTCTGCCTCCCCCATAAATGATCTCACTGATAGTGAGAAAAAGTGGCGCCAAGGCATTTCAGCCGACCAAGATGAGCATGAAAGGCTACGTAAACTGGCATCGGATGTGAGTGAAATGTTTATCAGCGATGGGGCCAAGGCTGAAACTACTGGCGTTGAGGCTGTGACACTCGCCCCAGTTCTCGATCAAGTCCAATCCAGGACACTCCTCATGGCCATGATGAATCGGATAAGTCAGGACATCATGCTGGAAACGCACCTATTGGAGGAATCGGCTAAATTGATACAGTATGCTCCTCTTGGATATCTCAACTTGGATGATCTTGTCTCGATCCTTAATACTCTCAGTTCCCGCTTGCAAGGTACACATGCCCAAGCTAGAGACCATCTCTATCACCTGTCCGCTACAGTCTCACATGACCTCGATGCCATGGTCAACAACCAAGTCAAGGGTTTGAAGCGAGATCAACTCCATGAGCCACTAGCTGCATACCTCAAGGGACTGAAATAGAATTCAGATCCTCATCTAATCTACCAGGCAGCCTATGGTTTTCATACCCTTCAGTATACCCAGATTACGAATCAACAATGAAAGGCATTCTTCGACGAACATCAGCAATATTCCGAGGAGTGTTTGAAATAGTGAGTGCAGTCAAGGACTTAAACCTGAATGCCTTTATGGATGAGATAAGAAATATCCAGAAAGGACTACCATCAGTGACAGATATCACGGACAAGAGCCTGCAGGCGTAGAAGGGATCAACGTCACTCTTTGAGGGCGGATTATTGTTCAGAGAGTGTATAGAAGAAGGACTGAGCTTCAGTCACAAGTCAGCATAGTATCCAGCACTTCGAGTAGCTGATGCACTACTCCAGACAGGCGAACTGATCAAGTTCAAGACTCTTGTGTATGAAGTATCTTGTCGAAATTAAGCAGCATTCCAATGGGAACTATGTCAGATGTTGGGATAGATCGCAGCTGATACAAAGTGGAGCATGGATACCCGACTAGATGCTATTACTTTGCTAGGAGAAATCTATATGACTGACCAAGAGTGAGGTTCTCATACACACATTAAGTAGTGGATCGTAATCATCTCCAGACATCTATCTTTGTTATCACTGTATGGCTTAGAATGTACGTACTGCTCGCTTTTGATGGATGTTTCTGATAGTTAGGCAACAGTCAGTATATAATGCTTAATCCTATTATTCTGTTCATACCTTCTTTCCGTCTTTCTGTTTATTTACAGCTGCCAACACGCTCTTTAAAGATCCCAAAACGCACGGAGACGCCAAGGAACAAGATGTCACGAACAGCAAGCAATGTCTAGCTCATGAATTGATGAATGACTTTTGTCTGATTCGAATCTGAAAAAGATCACGTGTGCTTGATTAATTTGTTCCGCTCATTTCCTTCACTCATTCCTCCATGCATAGTTTGCCTGTCAAGCCAAGTCGCGTCTCCTAGTTTTCTAGCTCCGTGAATAGCTCCAAGGATTCTAGAAGAGCTATAAAGCAATAACCAAGACTTATAGTGCCAAGGAACCTTGAAATAAGATTGCACCAGATATCTTCCTCGGATCCTGTGTATTAAGTTAACTCAACACTTGAAGTTCCGCATATGGTAAAAGTCCTTAGGAAATATTTGAGTAAGCTTTATTTAGAGTTCTTGAAGCGCGTCTCCGCTTCAGTCAAACAAGTATAAATATGATAGATTTGTAACATAGTAAACCTCAGTCTGCAATAAAACTATTCGTGAATCCATTCTAGTTCTCAGCTCATTATCATTCTTGTTATTCATTCACTTACCTTTCCTTGCAAACCCTTTGTCAGTCCTTGACACAAGAACTATACAAGAAGTGCCTGCAAGGATCATTGATTCGGTACTCCTCCATTGCCACGCTATCCCCACCTGCGTCTTCACGGTTGCTTGACCGTGCACAGAAGAAGCCTGGTGTCGCGAACAGCCTACGTCAACTGAAGAGGCAGCGGATAGATGTTGGAAATAGCCAGGGGTTCTACGTTCAACAGTATGCCAAAGCAAGCCCTCAAGCAAGCGATGAAGACAGGGCTCCTATTCGATAATTGAATGAAATTCGAATGCATATAAAAAAGGGATGAATTTTTTTTTTTTACAGTGCATTCGAATTCTATTAGATTATCGAATGGGAGCCCTGATTCATAGTATCGATGTCACTAGAAGTGCTCCCACGGATGGTAGATCCGAATCAAGACATCTCCAATACCAAGCTCAAACGTGTCACATTGTATGACCAGTTTGTTGAGCAGTGGTACGAACGAGGCAAGAAGCGACTAAGCGAGACATTAAGACCAGAGGATAGAAGGATGTTCCGCGTATTGGCAGACGAAGGATTTGCACAACATGGAGTCAAGTACCTGACAGAGCTGGCTGTAGCGATCTATAGGCATCATGATGGCAATCCAATGGTGGGGTATTCGCCATTCAAAGATATGGGCACATGGAAAGAAGTGTATTTCAGTAAAGAGTACAGAAGAAGCCTATTACATGAGGCGTCACCAATCACTCGTACAGGCAACCAGCATCGGTTTCCCACCGATCTATTCTTATGGGCAAAGATGGCAGGAGCACAATTTGGAGAATGGCCGCTTATTGAAGCGGGCGATGATGTGTTGGATGGAAGATGTTCGCCTAATAGCAAGACGCTCGCTGCAGTTATCGATGAATCAACAATATATTCAATTTATTCAATTATCGTGTATGGCACATCAACATGGAAGGAGCTCTCAGTTTCGGAATGCGATATAGGTGGCTAAAGGCTTTTATACTCACCAGACGGCAGGTATATTGCCTACTGGGACGATCATCAAAATGCAGTTGTATTTTGGGATGCAACATCAGGGCGATTGGTTCACAAATCGGTGGGCTTTACAGGCTATGTCCGCTATGTAGCGTACTCGTCAAGCGGGAACGATCTTGCCTCAGCCCTCAATGATGGCTCAGTGCGAGTGTAGGACACTTAGACAGGCATTCTCAAATACATTTTAGAGGGCCATACTGGTTCTTTAAAAAGGGTGGCATATTCATCCGATGGAAAACAGATTGCCACTGGCGGTGAAGACAAGGTATCGCAGCTGTGGGATACGACATCAGGGCAGCAGTCAATGTTGCTGATGGCTGATTACCTTAGAATTGATCAAATTTAGTATTCACCTAATGGCCAAGAAATCATAACGCGTTGTAACAAAGATCGTTGGCTGCATGGCGGTCATGTCGAAGGCATACAGTGTGCACCTAACGGGAAGTTCGCTGCTTCGTTCAATTATTGCACGATATATCAGTGGGATATGCAAACAGGGAAAGCTATTTATACTTTTGAAAAAGAATATGATTCTATCAATTATCTATATATATAAAGTATTCACCAAAGGGAGAAGCAATAGCCGTTTGCGACCGGAGCAACACAATATAGTTATTGAACGCGAGATCAGGGCAACTCTTGAATACATTCTACGGTCACTCTAGTTATATATACTGCTTGGGATATTCACCAAGCAACTACCAGATTGCGTCCTTCAATTATGACGGGACGATACGCTTTTGGGATACTCGATCACATCAATTCAGCCATGGCTTACATAGCCATACAGCAAGAATTTCTGGCAACAGGAGTTCGCCAGATGGGCAGCAAATAGCTTCACAGAGTGAAGCTGGAACAGTGCACATGTGGAATGCAAGAATAGGACAGCTCATTCATATTTTACACTGCCTCGATGAAAGCGCATGGGACATCAAGTATTCACCTCATGGCCAGTTGCTTGCTTCTTACCAAAGAACTCCACGCGTCTACCTTTGGGATGTCCGAACAGGCGTGCTCGTTCACACATTGGAGCTACAAGGTGTAGGTGCCGGTCACATCTATGCCTTTGATTTCTCACCTATTGGTCATCGAGTTGTCTGTTGTCATAAATCTGAAAATGTGACTATAT